GTGCCTTCATCCTGTAATACAACACATCTAGAACAGAGACCTCCACAGCTACGATCCGACTAGTTGAACGCGAACCGCGGAATATAACATGGTAAAGGAAAATTTCATTCTTACCGGTTTCGGAGTCGGCTCAGCTGCCGTTAACGTGCCCTCATCCTGTAAAAAGAAAAAAAATACATAGACGGCATTAATGCAAACTATCCCCTCAGAAGTGATTTTGGAAAAGAACTCCTTACTGGTTTCGGAGTAGGCTCAGCTGCTGTCAGCGTGCCCTCATCCTGCAAAGGAAAACGTCCTTTGCAGTGGCCAGATCTTATTCTCATTACTGTGCGCTGCGTACTACGACTTGCGGATACGACTTGCTTACGTGCGTACAACAAACTCGAAGAAAGAAAGAGGTGAACATGATGTGGCAACCGAAATTGAGACTTACAGGTTTCGGAGTCGGGTGAACTGCTGTCAGCGTGCCTTCGTCCTGCAAGAAGCACATGATTAGAACAAACAAAACTGTTCACATTTGTTGCCATAGTACCATCACTTCACGTGAACTATGCCTTCGAAAATGAAATGTTAACGAATTTAAGCCTTACAGGTTTCGGAGTCGGGTGAACTGCTGTGAGCGTGCCCTCATCCTATAAAATTGCACTTTCAAACACAACAGGTGACGGTATGGATCATTAGCTCAAACTATGATCAGGATTTTGAAGTATGTCATCATTGGCAGCAGCTCAGACCTCATGGGCTACCTCAGTGACTAAATGAATCCATATATTCATAAAGGGGATTAGCGCCCAGTCTCCAGGACTCGTGTTTGTTATCGGATGTCAGGTTCATGGTTGCGTTAATGCGTCGAGCCCATCTGTAGTTTCTGCCATGGTCCTTTCACGGTGTATTTTTTATAGTTTTTATGGGCACACCTCGAGTGTATGGAAATAAATAATGAATAAATGAAGCTTCGTTATTGGGTCACGGATGGACTTAATGTGTAAAGGCACAAATCGCAACAAGCCAAGTTAGGGTAGTTACTGGCATTTAAAGTGAAAAACTTCTCAGGTACAGATATTGCATCGTTCATATTGATGATAAATATGGCTCAAAGGTACGTATCAAGGGCACTGCAGGCTAGACTCTTTAGGGAAATACAGTCAGTGCCCAGACTTATGGGAAACCATACCGCCTGTGTGTAATATGTATGAAGCAGGTGAAGAAACGTGAATAGAAATATGAATACTTATAAGCAAATCTCATAAAGGGAAGAAGAATAAGTTGTCTTGACAAGGAAATACAACTTGTGTGCGGTCCCAGGAGTGTAGTGCGACGCGTTTTTGGAGGCCCCGGAGGCGCTGCGATCATCCACAAGTTGGCCTATATATGGTTGATCTCCACTGTGTATTTATGCAAGGAAGGGTCGGTTGAGCGCCGGATCTGTCTCTGAGGACGAAGTTATAAATTCACCGTCGCGGACCCTGATCCCTACCATATTTGAGGTGAGTGGGTCCAAAGCTGATGAGTTGGCCATTTTTCTGGTGCACTTAAAAGTGCATGAAGAAGGGGCCTGGGAGGGTTGTGATACGCGCACGTGTCGTCTTCATACTTCCGGCCGCGCTGCACTTCCCCAGCAAGGCACCTCGTTGTTCGGTTCAATTCCCCAATCCAATAGGGGGCGGGTCATATGATAGCCAGTAGGGGGGGTCGTAGGCGTGAGGCTGAAGAAAATTTATTTTGATAGTATGATTTTTCTCTGCTTTTATGAGTTGTAAAGGGAAGGGGTCGCATTCCTGTTTTGGCATTTGTGGGAGTGAGCAGTTCACTCTCTTGATTTTCCTGTTTCATGTACTATATGCCGCTCGCCCTCGGTCGGACAGCAAGAAATTTTGGTAAAATACTATAGTGCCCCTGCGCCCCCCTCCCCCCCCCCCTTCTCGACGGCTGCTCGATTCGATAAGGAAAGGACAGAGGGCTGGGGGGGTCGTACCAACTCCCAAGAAAAGGGGGTCGTATAGAGTCGACTAATATCCCCAACCAATGATGTGCCCTGCAGCCAGCCACACGCCTAGCCACAGTTGAAAGCTCTAGTTGTCTGCGCCCTCTCACTTCAAACTGTTCTCTACCGCTGAGGGCGTGTTTCGCTGCGAGACCTTGGTATCGACGCAAACGGTGCTCCTTGTGGATAACGCGGGCGGCGTATCCAGACAGCACCCGGGTATCACTACCCTCCAGCCCCGTTCCCTTCTTTAAGTGGAGGAAGTAGCACGCTACTGCAGCCGCGTACCCATTCACTCCGTACATAGCAAGGAACCGAGATCCACGATGATGAGTGTGAAGCTTGTCTTCAAGTCAAGTTGCTTGCGGCCTCCGTTTATGAGCCCACTACCTACGACTTGCAATCACGAATGTGCCTTTTTATATAAAGTTACTCTGTTCGACTGAATGTACTATCGCGATCACTTTGAATAGGGAATGAACCTTTCTAGAAATACAATGACCACACTATGCTGAAAAACGGTTATCCCTTCTTGGCGCCCGTATCGCTTGCAACCACTATTCACAAAAACAACAAAGGTGTAGGGTAAGATAATGGTAGAAAACTTTAAGCAATCTCACAGGCTTGGGAGTCGGTTCCGCTGCTGTTTTGGTACCCTCGTCCTGCAAATGAAGTTCTATTCAGAATGTAATACGATTTTGTGTATGTATGTACAGTCCTCATCATTGCAGACCGGTGGGGCGGGTGAGCCGCGCTGCGTGTGACGCGGCTGTGACGCGACTGTCACTGAGCCGCAGTCGCTGTCGCGTCACAGCCGCGTCACACGCAGCGCGGCTCACCCGCCCCACCGGTCTGCAATGATGAGGACTGTATGTACACTCCTTATCCCTGAGCCAGAGTAGGCGTGGCATTTGAACATGGCACGGAACTGGTTACTCGTGGAATATTCCAGTCTGGGACAACTGTCATCTTGTTCTGTGTTGGACAGAGACACAACAGTTGTGTCAAGATGAAAATATCTCACCAGAAGCAGAACTCCAGGTAAAGTTGAAGAATGCAGCCCCGGCCGCCTACCCGATCTCAGGGATCTCGTGTATATGTATGCAGTATGTACGTATGTATGTATGTATTTATATATGTATGTGAAGAACAACTATTCCTGCTTAACTCAATCAAGTAGGAATCATAGAGTGCATCCAATGGCGAAAGCAAATTAGGTTCTGCCATCAACAGGTTTAGGTGTTGGTTCAGGTGCGGTTTTCGTGCCTTCGTCCTATAAGTAATGCATTTTGAGAAGGGTATCCGGACGACTCAGGTCTCATATTCCGGTTTTTTGTAGCAACTACTTTGAAACCATAAGATCCCAATCCAAAAACTTTCAAGCGAAAGAAAGTGAAGTCTTACCGGCCTAGGAGTGGGCTCGTGAGCAGTCTTGGCAGCATCTTCCTGCAAGAACATTCTGATTAGACATCACTAAGAACACTTCGCTTGTGAGATGCACCGTCGAACTTCAAGTCGGAAAGTGACAATGTACATGGAAACCCTACGTAGAATAGTCCTGAGGGGTCTCGCTATAGTCATACCGGTAGGTCTATCGTCAATAAGAAGCGATTCTATCCGCATCCCTTCCGCCGTCGAGCCAAACAAGGGCTACAGTATTTGTGTGAGTGAGAAGCAGCTGCGTAATTCCCAGAGTTGATCCACTCGAGTCCTAGAGTCCATCATTCTAGTATTAAAAGACAGTAATTGGGGCTCACGAAGGGCATCTCCGGATATCACACTGTGAGTGACGTTGGTCGTCGAGCTTTTCCTGAGATTCCCAGTCATTGTCGGTTGCAAAGATTCTTGTAAAGGTCCAGCGTTTCGACATAGTGTTCAGAAGTGTCAACTACCGCCACTCCCATCTGAATCCAGAACTCTTTACGCACACGAGAAGAAACCCGACGGATCCGATTCTCCCGTGCTACCGTAAAACATCAGTTGAACGATCGGAAGAGGCGGAAGTTACTCTCCTTCTCCGTTCCTATTTAGCCCGCGCGCTCGGCAGTGATGTCAGATGTCGTCCTGTCGTCTTGCTATACAGGTGGTCCCTTTCCGTCGTTCTATCATGAGTCGTGGACGCGTAGCGCATCCACCTCAACATTTCACATTCCGTTCAGTTGTTCTGCTCTTGCATATGCCAAGAGCCGCCGATCTTCTCTCTTAGTAGCTCAGTACTTGTTTATTAGAATAAGGCATCATTTTTTGCATTTTATGATTGTGCAAATTCATATGAATATAGGTTAATAGTTAGTTCATCCTGTTATAGTAACATGCACACAAATCAGTCGATCGGTGGTCATTCCTCTCTCTCTCTCTTCTAGTACAACTGTAGAAATAGACATTCGTCTTCGGGGGTATAGCGCAACATCCTGCAACGTCCGTCGGCAGGTCAGCAGGCATCCGCCACATTTCAAAGCATCTAATAATTACACACATTCCCCAACAGAGGGTGTAGGCCCTCCGATGCTCATGTTTTGCGTTGTCCGGCCGTACCGCCGGCAAGCACATCCTCATTCGTTGCACTTACTCCATATGAAGTAAAGTTCGGGAATATGCACCATGAACCGAACGTCTTTTTTTTCTTACTCCCTTATTTCAAAAAGCGATAGTAAAACATTTTAGCTTGCTTTGTCACTTTGTCGGCTCGGAGGTTTTTTGTGGCATCCGCAACTTCTGTTTCATTTCAGTTGATGTGGTAAGCGAAGGCGACGATACTGCCAGGCCTCACAAACCAATCATTCGGTGTCACTTTGGACGAAGGGAATGCTGACTGGCCAAGAGGAACTGCTTGAACGTTTAGCCTCGGAAGTGCTGATTTGTGGCGCGCCGACATGTAAAATGACCCGTAGACGTGCGATCGAAGAGGTAAGAAGAAAGCTGATGAGAATTCCAGTAAGAAAGAGAGAGAGAGAGAGAGAGAGAAGAGAGAGAGAGAGAGTGGCAAAGGACGATGCGTCCGCACCTCCTTTCTTCCTAAATAATAGCAATCCGGATGGATATGATTTCCGTGTACTTGTCGACCAGTCTAAGAGCTTCTTTTTCATTTCCACGGGGGACGATAGGCTTGGAGCAGTAAGCACAACGTGGAGAGAACTTCCTAAAAAACAAAAGAGCTCTTTCTGATAAGGGTTAAAGGACTATTGCTCCTTTATACGGTCCGCGTTGCGCTGTGACTCCTAGGGACTGCATTTCTTCATTTTTGCCTGTTTAGAAGATAGTGCCACATTCCACGTCGATTGTATGGCGAAAACAGCGCGATTTTCCCTGTCAGGGGTTTTGCTGTCCCGTGTAGAGGTTCTGCCTCTTCACCGTCTTACCGTCAGAAGGGAGGTGCAGCAGGCACAATGGTGAGCCAAGTTTCGCCCATACGTAGCGTGAGATATGTCTTCGAGCTGCTGCAATAAACAAGGGGGCACAACCTTCGTTAGTTGAAACGGAATACACCACATGAACAAAGCACTTACGCCTGATAGCATGGTATACAGTAGGGTTTGTCTTTCGGTGTAGCAGTAAAAGGAATGCCTTCGAGTGGTTTGTGGCAAGTGTCACAGGCGAAGCACTCCGGATGCCATCCACCTCCGCGAGTTCGGATGAGCCGTTCAGTGACAACTTTGTTGCATTTGAGGCATTTCTCCAAAGGCTTCTGAACATACATCAATGAAGTTTATCCAACAACGGGAAAGAAATATGAAATTAGTGGAACTGAGTGGTAGCATGCAGCGGAGGTGGCGCAGTGGCCGCTTAGGATGCGCGCGGTCGGAAGTCAAATCGCCGTCAATGCCGTACGGTGTAGGCCAAAGCCCTTTCACTCCTACGGTACTGAGACGCAACTGCGAACCAGATTTCGTCTGGCGAGAACTAGAACACTATCCTGTACTCGTATCCCTCGCAGTTCATTATATAGCTTAGCTTCATGTCAGTGAGGCCACTCACGATCTGAGTGAGAGTAGAATGCATGGCCGCATCATAAGAAGGCGATCGTGATCGCGCTTTGGCGACAGCTTCTATGATTCGCGCGGAGCAAGCCTCATGCGTGGTAGGAAACTGTCGCGCGATGACCTATTAAAAATGCAGAAGAGTTTTGTGGGAAAGGTACGTGACCGCGAGTGACAACCCTTGCCAATTTTACGGCTGAAAGTTTGTAAAGGCGCAAGGAGATATGGCCTGCAAAAATTGTCCAGTGGTACTCCTTTTTTTCAGTGACTCGCCGCCTTCTGAGAACCACGCCTTCAAAAGCTGCCCTCCACCAAAATGCGAAGCTACCAGACAAGGAGCACAAAATGGATGCTACATTGTCTCTTGTGGGGTCACAGAGTTCATTTCAAGGATTCGGCAAACTGAAGTCGTCCCAGCAAGCGGTTTTTTTGGCATTTCACCCGTGCCATTGTTTGAAGCTGAAGGGGCCATATTTAAGGTGTTTTCGCCGTCCACTTTGGCATTTTGTCCTCACGGACGAGTCACTCGGCATCTTCCCCTTCACATTTCGCCGCCAGCACCTACTCTCCTCATCATTACGGACTGTCGGGGCGGGTCAGTGCGGCTGCGTTTTCCGCGGGTGCAAAGTCTTCTGCACCAGTTTGTTGAATCCCGGATGTGGCATTACTGTATTATATTATACCCCTATTCGTATTACCCATTTCTACCAACTTTTTGTCGGCATACACCGTTCAACGAAGAAGCTGGAAGGGCCTTCAAACAGTGTGCGCACGTCCGGAATGGCTTGATACCGGCCCCGCGACAAGTCCGTATATGAATGAGGAGAGTAACGCTCCTTATCTCTGGACCATTGCCGTTCAAAGACATCCGTGAGAGATGAATTGCGTTAATATCCTGCCAAAAAGAGGCCAGACATGGGAGCAGGGCATCCAACGTTTCTGGAAGTCAGCAGAAGTGTCGATATTTTGGCCGCTGAGAGAGAGCTTTGGGCAGGTGTAACCTGGAAAAATCCGGATTGGGTTTCTTCAGTCTCCGCGCCCCCCACATCCAGTCGCCGCGCGAACCACTAAATTTCAGCCACACTCCGTAAGCAAAAAAGGGAAGTCGTAAAAGTAGTATTTGAACAAGAAGATATGAGGATGTCGTTGTGTTGTGGGCAAAACTCCCAAGACTGATTTTCTCCGCTTCTACAGTCTTGTGAGCATCTAATGATGGAGCATGTCCAGGAGATGGGAGTAGCGCAGCGCTGAGCCGTTTCCTTTTTCTTTTGACAGGGAATGTATCATATGTATCAGTCGTTCTCCACCGCTTTGCCGTTCATCCGCTTCAGCAACTGGGGGAGAACGGGCTGGCAGAGCGCCAAATCTATGTCCCATGAGTGCGTGTACCGTTGGCTGTTTGGGCAATATTAGGTAAGCATTCCGCTCTAGATATCATTCTACCAGCAGTACACTGCACGATTGGGACTCACCAGCTCGAGGAACGGTAGTCGTCCATAGAAGCGACGAGGAGGGTGGTCGTATCTGGTCCGGTAAAATTTGTTTTGATGGTGATGCTTGGTTTTTTCCGCTTCGCTTTCTTCCACTTTTGTTGGCGGCGCGGCCACTGCTGTTTCTGACTTTCTAACAGCTGGTAAGACGTCATGCCCATCTTCACCTCAACCCCTGCCCACCTGCCCTCGAGGACTTGTGTTGAGAAGTCTCCTAGAGAAGAATCCCCCCCCCCCACCGCCGCGCCGTGATGTTTGCAAGAGATGTGGACAATGAAAAGTCTTTCAACAAACTTGCCTCAGGTGGCTTGAGTCCATCACGCTGAAAGAGAGATGTATGACAAATAAGGAAATCTTTTCTTTGACGGCGCTCACCCTCAGAGCTGACAGTTGTTCACTAGTAAACAAAGAAAACTTACAATACAGCATTTTTTGCATTTTGGTTTATGATCCTCTTCAAAGTAAGGTGTCCCAGGCCGGTATCATTTTATTTGGCATTTCTTAAAGCGGTACTGAAAACAGTAATGTTATCTTTTATAAGCTCCTCACTGTCAGGCGATCTGAATATTGTTTATTTGTACAAAACGAGAAAATGCTGATGTGATGGTGAAATTTCCGAAGATAAAAATTCCTCGCCGTTCGGCTTGGACGGCCACTTTGCACTTTTACTACTTCTTCTTGTTAGTTGATGTAAACTAACAAGTCTCACATTGGTCAGACTCCTGTGAAGCTGCGAAATTTGCCCGAAGATTAGCCACGAGGAACGGGTATTTAAAACAAAGAATGGCCTGATACAGACTTAGGTGTATCCATTTCAATTCCCTGCCACCCCAAGTCTGCGCGAGAATTTATATTTATGGAGCAGGGAATCGCGTAACGGTAAATGCGATTTATTGCAAATTGCCGTGACGTAAAGCGTGCGTAGAGATGTCGCGCAGACTGCAATACCGTGGGTGATAAACGTCGCCCCTCACCCCATTTCTAGCGCGGACCTAAAGCTGCAACCTGAACCCTATTAGCCAAAATCCTAGTAAAAAATGGGCAACTGATACTGTGCAAAATAACTGCTGTAGGAAAGAGCTGCAAGCCAAAAATATTGAGAGACAAGATTTCTCTGATGATGGCATTCATCTATTACTTCATTCAATGAATACATCGAATGATCGCTCGATTGATATATTTATTGCTTAATAAAGCTTTATGGTACAGTCTGTAAATTGCGCTCACAACGGTGTATAGAAACTCTCCGAGCAGGTGTAGAACCTCTCTCTGTATAGAGAAAATCTCATCGAGTGAGAAAGTCGTATTGAGAGTGAGTTTCGTCATCTTATCACGGGATGTCAGAGGTCAATGAGGGAGTTGGGATTTCCCTCTCAACTTCGGTCTCTCACTCGAAGATTCACAGGGGCACCTTATAGGTTGGGATCCCCAACACACGTCCATTCGGCCGCTAGAAGGAAAGGGGTATTCGCCAAAAAATTCTACTTCCCAAATTCCAAAACTCCCGAAATTCCAAAATCCGGAGAATTTTTGCCTTCCAAGCGCTGTACCTCTTCCCTTCCCTAAGTCGGCGATACTGTAAAACTGCTATTTCTAGTAGCTGACCGAAGGTGTGTAACAGCTGCACAGTTGTGTAACCCCCCCCCCCCTCGCTCCCCGCTCAACGGCAAATCCTTGGGAAACTTTGCAAAGACGATCAGTCGTTAAGGAAAGGAGGGGGGGGGGCATATCAACAGGGTACAGCATCGTGATGTGTGAAATTCTGGCGTCAGTACGACTCCGCCCCTCGAAAGAGGATCTCGGTGCGACCCCTCCCCCTTCCCTAACACCTGCCTACCACTTCCCTCTAGTTCCCAGCTTTCTGCCAGTTTTTTCGCGGAATTTCCGCCGAAATTTCCCACATTTTCCAGTTTTTCACCCAAAAAATTTTCGTCGCGGGGAGGGGTAAATAGCCAATGTGAACGGAAAAAAATCGCAAAAAGTCAACAACCGAGAAAAAATTTTTACCAACGCGGCAAATTTCTTCTAAAGGCACACACGGCCTCCCCCCCCAACAGCGACCAAATACAATCCTGCCTCCCAGCAACGACCAATTATGACCCCCACCCCCCTTTCCAGCGGCCGAGCACCACCCTATCCATGGGCTTCACACAAGGCTACTGTACCCTGCATATCAAGCCGAAATTCTCCCCAACGGTAGGACGTGTCTTGCACACATACACAAGCGAGAATAACATACGATGCAGCAATCCTTGCACCTCGGCGCATTGTTGACATCAAAGAACGGTGTACCGGCAGGTATTGTTTTCTTACAGCTTTTACAAGCTACCTGAAACGACGGTGCTGTAGATGACTTTCAAAACGAAGGCGACATTATCATTCCTAATATTTCAACAAGCTATTTCAAAGCACGAATTTCTAGATTCAGATGCGGAACAATAGATCCTTAAAGTTTGCTAACGGAGTTGGACGGCGGACATTTGGCAAACCGGTCCTTTATCGATAAAGTTCCAATTGTAGGCAGCGTGAAGCAGTAGGTAACATCCAGCCTCCACTCAAGCGTGTGAAGCGATGTGAACCGGGAGACGGGCAAGAGAATCGTAATTTGCCGCTCCTGCCGCGCGCGGCGATGGGCGCGGCGTTTTCTTAACTCGTGTTAACCTGTCGATTGGAGCACCGGACTTCATGTAGACCCCGTCATCGTAGACATTCATGACTATTTTCGGTTCTGAATTGCCCGTTGTTCGCCACTCT